TATTCCCTTAAGTTCTAGCCTGAGGGGTCTAGGGGCCCCTCAGGTCCTAAAAGTAAACAGGGGGCCCCCAGGGGGCCCCCGCCTCACTTCCTTACCAGCTGTACCTCTAGGGGGCCCCGGGGGTCCCCCTTCCTTCTCCTGCCTTCACCTGTACCCCCTGGGTCTTTGGGGCCCCCGATGGGTTTCGCTAGCAGCTGCTGAAGCAGCAGCAGCAGCAGCAGCAGCAGCAGCAGCAGCAGCAGCAGCGGTTCCATGCTCGTGTGCGCTAGGAGCCGCAGCAGCAGCAGCAGCAGCAGCAGCAGCAGCAGCAGCATCCTGTAGTGCTGCTCCTGCTTCTATTCACTCCTTTCTTTCCAGTAAACCCTTTTGAGTTATTGTCTTAAAACCCCTCCCTTTTATTTGCTTTGAACTTTTCCGCAGCAATTCCCTAAGATGCAAAGTACCCCAAATGGGGCCCCTCATGGGGCCCCCAATGGGGCCCCTCATGGGGGCCCCAATGGGGCCCCCAATGGGGCCCCCAATGGGGCCCCCAGGGGGGCCCCCAGCTCCGTCGGCGCCGCCAATGGGGCCCCTATAGAGGCGCCTCTGGAGGCCCCTGTAGGTTTTTCCAACGGGGGCCCCAGTGGGGCCCCCCTGGGGGCCCCCGGGGGGGCCCCCGGGGGGGCCCCCATGGGGGCCCCCGGGGGGCCCCCCTTGGGGGCCCCTGGGGGGGCCCCCCAGGGTCGCGCCCCGCAGCTAGTTCGACTTTACGATGGCTCGCAAAAGTGGGCCTGGAACCCTTACGCTGGGGGCCTCGGGTGCAGCAGCGTGTTGGGGGGCCCCCCCCTGGGTACTGCGTTTTTGGGGGGGGCCCCCCTGGGGGCCCCCCCCCTGGGGGGCCCCAAGGGGGCCCCCAAGGGGGCCCCCAGCGAGGTGGAAAGGCTGCAAAGTCTGTACCGAGATGAAGTGAGTTTGCTGCAGATGGACCACGAGCTGCTGCTGTATGACTTGAGTAGTTTTAAGGAAATGATGGCGGAGTACCAAGAAGGGGAGGGGGCCCCCCTGGCTGCAACTTTGCCAGATGAACTGCTGGAAATAAAGAAAGGACTGGACTTGAGAATTGAACAGTTCAAAGACGACTGCGGGCGGTGCGAGCGGCTGCAGCAGCAGCTGCAGCTGGAAATAGACAAGGGGCCCCCCCTGGGGCGGGGGGGCCCCCCGGGGGGCCCCCTGGGGGGCCCCCTAGCAGCAACTCCAGAAGCTGTTGCTGCTAACTGTTTGCTGCTGAAAAAAGCCAAAGACCAAAAAAGACTTATTGCCATGCTGCAGCGGGACTTGGAAGAAAGACTTTATGAGCGGGAGTTGGCGGAGCAGCACTTGAAGAAGCTGCGGCGAGCAGCAGACCATTTGCTGCTGCTGCAGCCGGCCCACTGGGGGGGGGGCCCCCGGGGGGCCCCCAGGGGCGGGGCCCCCCCGGCCCAGGGGCCCCCCACGCTGCACCAGAGACAAAAACTTGTCCCAGAATTCAAGTCCAAGTGGCTGCAGCAAATAAGATTTGCCCGAGAGCCTTTGCCCAGAGTACCCAGCAGAGAGCCTCCTATTCCTGCTGCTACAGTTTCCCCCAAAAAGAAGCCAGCAGCAGCAGCAGCAGCAGCAGCAGCAGCAGCAGCAGCAGCAGCAGCAGGCACTGGGGAGCTCGCGAGGAGGCTCAGCCGCGCAGACAGAAAGCCCAGCGCAGAAGCAGCAGCAGCAGCAGCAGAGGCGCTGGGGGCCCCCGCAGCAGCAGCAGCAGCAGCAGAAGAGGGGCTGCTGCCTCGTGTCTTTCGCTCCATCTGGAGGTCTTCGGAGCCTTCTGCTGCAGCAGCAGACGACGCCAAGCCAGCAGCAGCAGCAGCAGCAGCAGCAGCAAGCCCCCGGCGAAGCAGCACCGCCACCGCGCTGCAGCGGTGGGTCTCGGGGCCCCTGAGCCTCGTTATCTCTGGGGAAGGGGGGCCCCCCAAGGACAAAAGCGACAAAGCAGCAGCAGCAGCAGCAGCAGCAGCAGCAGCAGCAGCAGCAGCAGCAGACAAAGACAGCAGCAGGGGCCCCCAAACACTACCCAGAAGCAGCAGCAGGGCCTCTCTGGCTAGGGGCCCCTTTCGCACTTTGTTGTCTCCTCGAGGGTCTACAGAAAGTGTCATTTTAAGGCACGGATCCCGTACCCTAGCTTCCCCCAGAAAGGCCATTGAGGGGCCCCCCCTCTCCCCCCGCCTGTCTCGCAGCAGCAGCGTGGACACTGTGGCCCCAATCCACAAGCAGCTAACGAGGACGCTGCAGTCCCCGCGGGGTGAAGCAGCAGCAGCAGCAGCAGCAGCAGCAGCAGCAGCAGCAGCAGCAGCAGCAGAGGGGCCCCTGGCGAGGAAGGGGACCCGCACGCTGCTGTCTCCAAGAGATGCAGCAGCAGCAGTAGAAAGGTTCGGTTCTCGTACCCTTTTGTCCCCAAGGCTGGGGGGGGGGCCCCCGGGGGGCCCCCCTAATAGGGCCCCCAGCCTTAGGGGCCCCGTACTTTCAAGGAAAGAAAGCGCAGCTTTCTTGTCTTAACTGCTTCCTAAAGATGCAAGTTGCTGCTGCTGCTGCTGCTGCTGCTGCTGCTGCTGCTGCTGCATTGCTGCTGTTGCTGCTGCTGCTGCGCACCTGGTGCTGATTTTGCTGCTGGCGAGAGCCACAGCAAAAGCAGCAGCAGCTGCTGCTGGCAGCTGCTTCTAGTCGTAGTCCGGTTCTCTTCGCACAGGACTAAACCCTAAACCCTAAACCCTAAACCCTAAACCCTAAACCCTAAACCCTAAACATTAGGCCGCAGGGCAGTAGCTAGAGAGATTAGGGAGACACAATTTAGTCGGACGGAGTCAAGACGCAGCAGCAGGCTGTTGCCTGCGCACCAGCAGCAGCAGCAGCAGCAGCTGCTGCTGCTGCTGCTGCTGCTGTGGGGCCCCTCGGTGCCTTTTAGGGGCCTCCACACGCCAACTGTGGGGCCCCCCAAAGGGCTGCAGAAGGGCAATAGCTGCTGCAGCAGCTGAAGCAGCAGCTGCTGCAGAAGGGCAATAGCTGCTGCAGCAGCTGGAGCAGCAGCTGCTGCAGAAGGGCAATAGCTGCTGCAGCAGCTGGAGCAGCAGCTGCTGCAGCAGGCCCCCCAAAGGGCTGCAGAAGGGCAATAGCTGCTGCAGCAGCTGGAGCAGCAGCTGCTGCTGCCAAAGGGCGACAAACAGCAGCAGCCGGATGTTCCCAGGGGTCTTCTTGCTGCTGCTTGAGAACCTCAGCTAGCAGCAGCAGTATCCGCAGAAGCAGCAGCAGCAGCAGCAGCAGCTGCTGCAGCTGCTGCTGCTGCTGCCTGTTTCTTGATTTTCTTCCTGAAGGACCTTTTCCGGCTGAAGGCGGCGGCGACGGAGCGCGGCTGCTGCTGCTGCTGCTCCCCGCCGCCGCCGCCGCCGCCGCCGCTGCTGCTGCTGCTGCTGCTGCTGCTGCTGCTGCTGCTGGCAGCAGCAGGGGGGCCCCCAATGGCAGCCACCAGCTGCTGCTGCTGCGGCCCAAAGTATGAAAGGGCCCTCCCGGGGGCCCCCCCGCGGGCCACGCGGCCCACGCGGTGTAAATGGCTGACAGCAGACAGCGCAAAGTCGAACTCCACCACCGCCCCCAAACCCCACAAGTCCAGGCCCCTTGCTGCTGCGTCAGTGCTCACCAGCACTGCTGCTGCTGCTGCTGCTGCTGCTGCTGCTGCTGCTGCTGCTGGGGCTGCTGCTGCTGGGGCTGCTGCTGCTGGGGCTGCTGGCGGTGCTGCTGGGGATGCTGCTGGGGATGCTGCTGGGGATGCCGCTGCTGGGGATGCTGCTGCTGATGCTGCTGCTGTTGCTGCTGCTGGTGCTGCTGCTGCTGCTGCTGGCGCTGCTGCTGCTGCTGCTGGTGCTGCTGCTGCTGCTGGCGAGGCTGAAGGCGACGCGTCGCAGAACTTCTTGAGGACTTTTGCGCGAGCGAGGGGAGCGAGCTGCGCGGTGAAGAGAAGCACTTCTCGCTGCTGCTGCTGCTGCTGCTGCTGCTGCTGCTGCTGCTGCAGCTTTTGCTGCAGCAGCTCCGCGACGCGCTTGGCAGTTGCTGCAGTGTTGCAGAACACCAGGGTCTTGAGGCCCCTCAGGGGCCCCTCAAGGGCCCCCAGCAGCAGCAAAACTCTTTCTTCTAATGTGGCTTCTGCTGCAACAGCAACAAACTCCTGCAGCAAACCTCTGCAGTGGCAGTGCAGCAGCTCAGACTCCACAAAGTACATATTCGGAAACAGCCGCTCCACCAGGCCCCGGAGGCCCCCCTGGGGGCCTCTCCTCTTCAGAGCTGCTGTCGCGGGGGGCCCCCCGGGGGGCCCCCTGGGGGCCCCCCGAAGCGCCTCCCTCCCCGGGGGCCCCCCCAGGGGCCCCCGTTGACTCGGGGGCCTCCTTTTGGCCGGGGGGCCCCCTGGGGGCCCCCGCGCTGCTGCTGCTGTCGCCGGGGGCCCCCCGGGGGCCCCCCGGGGCCCCCGAGGAGGGCAGCGTTGCTGCTGCTAAGACGTACTGCGTGGGGCCCCTCCCGAGTCTTCTTTTTTGTTTATCTGCTGCTCTGAACTTCTCCAATAATCCCAAAATGCTGCTTCTAAACCCTCCCTCCAGCAGCATGTCTGCTTCGTCCAGCACCAGCGTTTCTGCTGCAGCAAAAAGCCCTTTTTCTTTTGCTGCTGCAGCAGCAAACGCATGCGGCGTCGAAACCAGCAGCGCGGGGCACCCGCCGGCCCCGGGGGGCCCCCCGGGGGCCCCCAGCGGGGGGCCCCCCGGGGGGCCCCCCCGGGGGGCCCCCCGGGGGCCCTCCTGGGATAGGGCCAACTGGAAAAAGTACCCAGCAGCAAACCTGCTGCAGCAGGAGACAGCAGCGGAGTCTTTTGGAGAAGTCTGCGGCACCAGCCAAAGACTTGAAGGGCCAGTTCTCTTGTGGGGACAAGAACAACAGCAACTGGGTACTTCCTTGCTGCTGCTGCTGCTGCTGCTGCTGCTGCTGCTGCTGCTGCTGGGGGCGAGGGCTGAGCGCGGGCCGCGGCGCGGGCCGCGGCGGCCTGCTGCTGCTGCAGCAGCAGCTGCTGCTGCTGCTGCTGCTGCTGCAGCACGAGCAGCCGCTGCACCAGGGCCACCACGTAAGCCAAAGTCTTGCCGCTGCCAGTCTCTGCTGCTATGCAGAGACTTCGGCCCTGCAGCAGCAGCGGCAGCGCAGCAGCTTGCGTGCTGCTGCTGCAGCGAATGCCCCACTGCTGCAGCGCCTGCTGCAGCGAAGGCAGCAGCCCCAGGGGCCCGAAGCTGGCCGTCGCAAACCCCTGCTGCTGCTGCTGCTGCTGCTGCAGGCGCTGCTGCTGCTGCTGCTGCGGTTGCTGCTGCAGGGGCTGCTGCAGGGGCTGCTGCAGCGCCTGCTGCGGCTGCTGCTGCTGCTCTTGCTGCTGCGCGGCAGCAGCGCTGCAGCAGCAGCGGGAGGCCCCAGGGCCCCCACTCCGCCACAGGGGCCCCCCTCGGGGGGCAGCAAAAGCAGCACTGGGGGGCCCCCCCTTGCCTGTGTGGGGCCCCCAAGATCCCAGGGGCCCAGAGGGGTAGCAGCAGCGAAGGGGGGCCCCCCCCGAGGGCCTGCAGCTGCTGCAGCAGCAGCTGCTGCAGCAGCAGCTGAAGACAAGAACAGCTACAAGGCACAAGGCCAGCGGGGGGCCCCCCAGGGTCCTGGGGGCCCCCCTTGCATGCAGCCTAGAGGGCCCAACCATGCTGGGGGGCCCCTCCAGAGGGCCTCCTGGGGGGCCCCCAAACTGTTCCTCGGGGCCTCCCTGCAACTAGGGGCCCCCCAGGACCATCTTTTAAATTAATTAATTAAATAAACATCTTATTTGACAATTCAACTGCAGCCTTGCTCCTGGGGGCCCCCGAGGCCCTGGGGGCCCCCCTGGGGGCCCCCCTGGGGGCCCCCCAGGGGGGCCCCCCATGCTCTTCCTGGGACCCCCAGGGGGCCCCCAGGGGAGCCCCTACGGGGCCCCCTTGCCATCCTTTGCTACTTATTTTTAAAATATAATTTAAAAATGCTTTTATTTAATTATTTTTCCATTATTTGCCACTAAAATGGAAACAGTTCTTCCTGGGGGCCCCGGGGGCCCCAGGGGGCCCCACTGAGGTGTGTAGACAGCCCAGAATCAGGTGTACATACACCTAGAGTTTTTTTGTTCTTTTGCTCTTTCGACGGCTCCAAATGCATTTATTGACAGAAATAAAGAAATAAATAAACAAATAAATCAATTAATTCACAATAAATAGGAAAAAAATGAAAAATAAATGAATAAATAAACATATAAATGTATATTCGAAACGGCACAGGCCCCCCTGGCCCTCCCCCGCTGCGAGTTTGCTGCATTTGCTGCCAGCAAAAGGCCCTACGGCCTTTCGGGGGCCCCCCGGGGGGCCCCCAGGGGGCCCCCTGGGGGCCCCCCGGGGGCCCTTTTGGGGGCCCCCGGGGGCTCCTTGGGGGCCCCTTGGGGCCCCCGGTGGGGCTGGGGGAGCCTTTAGATCGGCCCTGGTATTTAACTCAAGTAAGGATTTGCTTTTAAATAACAAATGCCCTTTTTGGAGATCCAGGGGGCCCCATGAGAGCTGCCAGCAGAAGCGGGGGGCCCTAGGGTTTAGGGTTTAGGGTTTAGGGTTTAGGGTTTAGGGTTTAGGCAGGCGACTGCGGAGGAAGCGCTCTCTGCTGCGGCTGTCACCCAGTGCTTCCCACTCCTCGACTGTCAGGCGCAGCAGCCGCCACCTGCAGGCAGGCGCCGCAAACCCTAAACCCTAAACCCTAAACCCTAAACCCTAAACCCTAATGCTGCTGCAGCGCAGCAGTGGCAGATAGAGACACAAACTTACCCCTCCAGCTGCAGCAGCAGCTGCCGCAGAACTCGCCAGGGCACTAGGGCCTCTGTGGGGGCCCCGGCAGAGTCGCGGAAGAAGTCTGAGGCCCCACAGACCTGCAGCAGCAGCAGCAGCAGCAGCAGCAGCAGCAGCAGCAGCAGCGGCATGAGCACCATTTTGTGCTGCTGCGCAGCAGAAAATAGCAGCAGCAACCAGCCCAGACCAACACTCAGGGGCCCCACCTCCACAGCAGCCTGTGGGGCCCCACAAACTGCAAAGGGTATACTGTAGGGGCCCCCAAAGAGGGGCCCCCGGAGCTGCAGGGGGGCCCCCTGGGGGCCCCTGAGGGCCTGCAGCGCAGCAGCAACTTGTGCATGCACTGCTGCCTTCCTGCCCTGTTTCATTATTAAAACCGACAACAAAGCGTTGCCTTCTAGAGCACCGTGCTGCTGCTGCTGCTGCTGCTGCTGCTGCTGCTGCTGCTGCTGCTGCTGAAGCAAGGCCCAGACTTCCCGCGCTGCAGCAGGCAGCGACTCCCCCTCAACGCGCAGCAGACTCCTCAGGCAGCAGGCAAAGATCCTCAGCACTTCCCCCCCACTGCTGCTGCTGCTGCTGCTGCTGCTGCTGTTGCTGCTGCTGCTGCTGCTGCTGCTGCTGCTGGGGCTCAAGATGGCCTGCAGAGAGCTTTTGTGGGGCGAGAATTGGGGCAGCAGCAAACCGACGGCGCGGCTTTGCGCAGCAGCAGCTGCTGGGTCGCAGCACCAGAGGCAGAGGGCAGCAGCTAGCTGCACCAGCTGCTGCAGCCGCTGCTGCAGCTTCTGCTGCTGCTGCTGCTGCTGCTGCTGCTGCTGCTGCTGCTGGTACTGCAGGGAAGCGAAGAGCAGCTGCAGCACTTCTGTTGCTGCTGCTCGCACTTGGTCACTGGCTGAGGTGCACGTACAGCCCAAGCGCGTGACAGCAGCAGCAGCTGCTGCTGCTGTTTCTAGCGGCAGGTGCTGCAGCACTATGCAGCTTGCTGGGCTAGCCGGCGTTGCTGCTGCTGCTGCTGCTGCTGCTGCTGCTGCTGTGTCCCCCGCTGAGCTTCTGCCGCCCTGCAGCACCAGGGACAGCTGCTGCAGCACAGGCAGCAGCAAAGCCTCCTCTCTGCACTGCCCTGCAGCCCACAGCTGCAGCAGCCGAGTCAGTGCTGCTGCTGCAGCAATGCCGCCATCTGCTGGGGCCAATGCATGCATCTGCTGCAGCAGCAAAGGGCCTGTGTCCTGCAGCAGCCGCAAACTCTGCTGCACAAAGCCCCCACCAGCTCGCAGCTGCTGCTGCTGCTGCTGTTGCTGCTGCTGCTGTTGCTGCTGCTGTTGCTGCTGCTGTTGCTGCTGCTGTTGCTGCTGTTCCTGCCGCTGCTGTTTCTCCTGTTTTTGCTGCTGCTGTTGCTGCTGCTGCTGGGGCGGCAGCTGCTGCTGGAGCTGCGGCTGCTGCTCCGCCTCAGCTTCCTCCTGCAGCGACTGCTGCAGCTGCAGCAGCAGCAAAGGTGGAAGCTGCTGCAGCTGCCGCAGCTTTGGGGCGAAACGCACGTACAGCTCGAGGGCCTCCACAGCAGCAAAAGGGCAGCAGCGCAGCAGCTTCCAGCGCAAGTGGAAAGCTAGCTGCCGCAGCAGCAGCGTGGTCCCGCTTGCTGCTGCAGTGTGCGGGTGCTGCAGCAGGCAGCGCAGACACCGGGAAATGTCCGCCACACTGTAGGAGTGGCAGCGGGTGTAGAAGCCCTCAAGCAGCTGCTGCAGCAGCAGCACTTGCTGCTGCTGCTGCTGCTGCTGCTCGCTGGGGGGCAGCAGCTCCCCAGAGACCGCAGGGGAGAAGCACTCAAGCAGCAGCAAAGACTGCGAGGGATCCCAGGCAGCAGAAGCAGCTGCAGCAGGAGCTGCAGCAGCAAACGCAAGCAGCACAGCAGCACAGCAGTGGGGCTTTAATCAGCAGCTCCAGACTAAGACCTAATTTGCTGCAGCTCACCTTTTTGCTGCTGCAGCAGCAGGGAAGCTAGCGAAGATAGAAGGGCTGCTCTTGCGCCGCTCTCTAAAGCCTTGCTGCTGCTGCTGCTGCTGCTGCTGCTGCTGCTGGTGCGAGACGAAGGGGAGGCAGCAAGCCGCAGCAGGGCTCGGCAGAGAGTGAAGATGTCTTTGTTGCCAAGACGAGGCAGCTGCTGCTCACACCGCGCCAGCAGCAGCGGCAGCAGCGGCAGGCGAGCAGCAGCAGCAGCAGGTGCAGCAGCAGCAGCAGCAGGTGCAGCAGCAGCAGCAAGGCCCTGCGGCAGCAGCCCCCCACCAGCAGCAGCAGCAATGCCGCGAACGATGCAGCTTCCTGTTAAGCTGGGGTCCCCCGGAGGCGGCAGGTCCCTGAGAACCTGCAGCGCTGACGGCAGCTGCTGCTGCTGCTGCTGCAGCAGCTGCAGCAGCAGCAGCTCTTGCTGCTGCTCCTTCCCAGGTGAGGGACTTAGTGCTGACACCAGCAAACCCTCCACCGCCAGCAGCAGCCCTTCCCATTTGCTGCTGCGGCCATCCGAAGGCAGCAAAAGGGATAGCAAAGAAACCCAAAGCGACATCACTTGCTGCAGCAGCAGCAGCAGCAGCAGCAGCAGCAGCAGCAGCAGTTATATCATGCCTGACGGCCTTGCCTCAAGCATTTAGCCCTGAGCCCTGAACCCCAAACCCTAGGCCCTAAACCCTGAACCCCAAACAATAAGCCCTAAACTCTTAACCCCAAACCCTAAACCCTAAACCCTAAACCCTAAACCCTAAACCCTAAACCCTACCTGAGCCGTCATTTCGAAATCTGAAGGCTTCCAGGCGCGGAGGTCTCCCCTCGCAGCTGCTTCTGCCAGGATGTTGGCAGCAGCAGCTTTTCCTTTCTGCTGCTGCTGCTGCTGCTGCTGCTGCTGCTGCTGCTGCTGCTGCAGCCGACGCGCCAAGCTGCTGGTAAGCTGCTGCGCGAGCTGCTGAAGCAGCTGCTGCGCCAATGCATGCAGCGGCAAGGGGCTGCAGCAGCAAATGCGGTGTGCATCTGCTGCTGCAGCAGCAAGCTGCTTGACATCCCAAGTGGCCACCCACTTGGGGGCTCCGCGCAGCAAGCCCGCAGCAGCAGCAAGCTGCTGCTGCTGCTGCTGCCGCCGTCGCTGCTGCTGCTGCAGCAGACACTCCAAAGACCACAAACGAGGCAGCGCCCCAAGAAGAGCCAGTGTGTCTTTGCTGTTGCATTGCTGCAGCACGCGGTTGAGCTGTACATACACTGCAGGCAGCAAATCTGCTGCTGCAGCACGCAACGCAGCAGCAGCAGGAGCAGCAGCAGGCGCAGCAGCAGCAGCAGCTGCTGCTGCTGCTGACGCATTTGAGGTCTCGCTGGACCGCAGCACACCGGCGTCTCCTCCAGCTTGCCCTGAGCCGTTCCCTGATGCAGCAGCTGCTGCTGCTGCTGTTGCTGCTGCCGCTGCTCTGCCTGAATCTCCTGCTGCTGCTGCTGCTGCTGCTGCTGCTGCTGCTGGCTCAGGCGTGCCACAAAGCCGCGCCAGAGAGGACAGCAGCAAAGCGATGTCTCTGGCTGCAAAGGCCTCAGCTTGAGCAGCAGAGTTTCTTAAGGCGACCAGCAGCAGCTGATGCACCTGCTGCAGCAAGTTCCTGAGCAGCAGTTGCTGCTGCTGCCGCTTCTGCTGCTGCTGCTGCTGCTGCTGCTGCTGCGGCACCCGGGCCAGCTGCTGCAGCTGAGCTTCGCATTCAGCCGCCAGCAGACTCACGTCCTGGAAAGACACAGAGACAGAAAGGCCACAAGAAAAGGCTGCTGCTGCAGCAGCAGCAGCAGCAGCTGCTGCTGCTGCTGCTGCTGCTGCTGCTGCTGCTGCTGCTGCTGCTGCTGCTGCTGCTGCTGCTGCTGCTGCTGTGCTGCGCTGCTGCGAGCCACAGCTACTGTCGCATGCAGCAGCCCGCAAGTGGAGACAGCAGAAAAGGCCCCCAGCACTGCTGGGAGTCTCTGCAGCAGCAGCAGCCACCAGGCCGCGAACGGCAGCAAAAGCTGCTGCTGCTGCTGCTGCTGCTGCTGCTGCTGCTGCGCGAGGAGGAAGGCCTGGACTTGCTGCTGAAAAGCAGCAAACGCAGCAGCAAGTGCTGTCAAGTCCTTCGGATTTGCTTCGAGTGCAACAAAGTTGGGGAGACACCTCAGAGCAGCAGAAAGGAGACACTCGGAAGGAGACAGCCCCACACGCGACAGCGAACTCAGCAGAATCAGCAGCGCTGCAGCAGCAGCAGCAGCAGCAGCAGCAGCAGCAGCAGCAAGAGACGCACACACACACACACGAGAGCTCCGCGTTGGGGCAGCCGCTGCGGGCAGCAGCGCCAGGCGCTGCAGGTTAAACGGCAGCAAAAGCAGCAGCAGCAGTAGCAGCAGCAGCAGCAGCGGCAGCAGCAGCAATTTCTCCAGCAGCAGCAGCAGCAACAGCAGCAGCAGCAACAGCTCAGCAACAGCAGCGCCAGGCGCTGCAGGTGAAACGGCAGCAAAAGCAGCAGCAGCAGTAGCAGCAGCAGCAGTAGCAGCAGCAGCAGCAGCGGCAGCAGCGGCAATTTCAGCAGCAGCAGCAGCAGCAACAGCAGCAGCAGCAACAGCTCAGCAACAGCAGCGCCAGGCGCTGCAGGTGAAACGGCAGCAAAAGCAGCAGCAGCAGTAGCAGCAGCAGCAGCAGCGGCAGCAGCAGCAATTTCAGCAACAGCAGCAGCAGCAACAGCAGCAGCAGATATACCCTGCGCTGCTCCCTACAGCGCCTAGCTTGCCCGCCTCAGGTCCTCAGCCCACCGCCCTAGCCCTTGGACTCAACCCTAAACCCTAAACCCTAAACCCTAAACCCTAAACCCTAAACCCTTACTTTTTGGGGGCGCGTCTGCGCAGCAGCCGTCGGCCTTGCGGCTCAAGTTGCTGATGATCTTTAGGGCTTTTTCTTTGTCTCCTTTTTGCTGCTGGTTTGCTGCAGCTGCTGGAGTGTCTCCTTTTTTGTTTTTGCTTTTGAATTTTCCTGCTGCTGCAGCAGCAGCAGCAGCAGCAGCAGCAGCGTCTCTGCTGCAGCAGCTGCTGCTGCCTCGCCGCGGCCGCAGGTACTGAGCCATCAGGCTGAGGCAGTGCGAGACTTCAATGGGCCGCGCTGCAGCTTCCTAAGCAGCCACAAGGAGACAAAAACCCTAAACCCTAAACCCTAAACCCTAAACCCTAAACCCTAAACCCTAAACCCTACCCCTGGACGCCAAGCGCCCAAGTTCTGGAATCTCAAGAGGCCACAGCCCTCAGCGGCTTCTCCTTTAGAGGCAGTCCATAGAAAACTAATTATCTTTAGTGTCTCAAGGGTTTAGGGTTTAGGGTTTAGGGTTTAGGGTTTAGGGTTTAGCTGACCGTGGCTGCTTCCACTGAGGAGAGAAAACCCTCGTGGTCTCCTGCGCGCAGCTGCCTCTTAGCGAGTCGACAGAGAAGTTGTGAAACGTGGCTCACGCTGCCCTTCGGCTTCTTGCTGCTGCTGCTGCTGCTGCTGCTGCTGCTGCTGCTGCTGCTGCTGCTGCTGGGCTTAGGGGGAGGGCCTACAAGGCGCAGCTTGGGGAGGCCCAGGGCTCTCCGGGGAGAGCGGCGGACAAAGACGCTGGCTTGCTGCTGCTGCAGCAGCGAGAAGGACACCTGACCCTTGCTGCTGCTGCTGCTGCTGCTGCTGCTGCTGCTGCTGCTGCTGCTGCTGCTGCTGCTGCTGAAGGCAGCAGCAGCATAGGGCAAAGATGCTCTGTGCCGCGATGCCTTCAGCATGCAGCTGCAGCAGGGGCCACCGGGAAGCAATGGGGGGCCCCCCAAGAGGGCCCTCATTGCGATATAGGGTTTAGGGTTTAGGGTTTAGGGTTTAGGGTTTGAGATCTAGGGTTTGGAAATATATAATTAAAAATCCTTAAAAGCGTCAAAAAAATCTCTACTGAGTCCTAAACAATGAAGAAGGTGTAAAGTGTGAAGTATGAAGGCCATGGACCCTAAACCCTAAACACCAGACCCTAAACCCTAAACCCTAAACCCTAAACCCTAAACCCTAAACCCTAGGCACAGCATTTGTCCTGGAATTTACCGATCCAGCATTTAAAATTGAAACGCAAATTAAAAAAGAATTATCTTTAAGAAATAAAAGGTCCAGCATTTGCAAGGGGCTCCCTGGGGGGCCCCCAGTGGTCTGTTGGGGCCCCCGGGGGGCCCCCTGTGGGGCCCCCGGGGGCCTCTAGAGGCCCCGGGGCCCCCTGGGGGCCCCCACACTACTTAACTGCTGCTAGTTAATGTTTTAAAAATGAAAATAAAAAGAATAAAAAGGCATTTTCCTTCTTTGCTGCTCTTGTTGCTTCTCAGTGGCCACCTGTGTTGCCGCCAGCTAGCTAGCCAGCTAGCTAGCCAGTTGGCTGTGTGGCTAGCTAGCCAGCAAGCTAGCCAGCAAGCGAGCCAGCTAGCCAGCAAGCTAGCCAGCTAGCTAGCCAGCAAGCTAGCCAGCTAGCTAGCCAGCTAGCTAGCTAGCTAGCTAGCTAGCTAGCTAGCTAGCTGGCTAGCCACATAGCCAGCCTCTTACCTGGCCAGCCAGCTAGGAAGCTAGCTACCGAGTTGTCTAGCCATCTAACTGGCTAGCTAGCTAGCCAGCTAGCCAGCGAGCCGTTTAGCTAGCTAGCCAATTAGCCAGCTAGCTGGGAATCCAGCTAGATAGCTGGCTAGCTAGCTAGCTGGCCAGCCAGTCAACAGCGCAAACCCCGTGCTGCTTGGAAGCTAGCTAGCTAGCTCTTCAGGAGGCAAGCTGAGGTGTACGTACACCTGAATGCAGGCAAGCTGAGGTGTACGTACACCTGGATGCTGTGCATGCACGTGCGCATACACCTCAGAAGTCTTTTAGAACACTTTATTATTAACAAATTATGGCCCCACACTGCAGCAGCAGCAGCAGCTACTGCAGCAGCAGCAGCAGCGGGCTTCCGCCATTTGCTGCTGCAGCGTCTCAAATAGCTCCACGACGAGCTCCTGCTGCTGCTACTGCTGCTGCTGCTGCTGCTGCTGCTGCTGTTGCTGCTGCATGCATGCATGCACAGTGGGGAAGCAGTTTGCCCAGAGTCCCAAAGGCCCTAAAAGTGTTTTTAAAAAATAAAATTAGACCTTATGCCAACTGCTTGCTAGCCACAAACCCTAAACCCTAGACCTAAACCCTCAAAGCTAAACCCTAAACCCTCAACGCTAAACCCTAAACCCTCGGCAAGCCCACACCAACCCTTGCATGCACCCCACAGACCCAGCCCGTAGCCCCTGCCTCTACAGGGGGCCCCACAGGGGCCCCACAGGGGCCCCCAAAAGGGCCCCACAGGGGCCCCCAAAAAAGCCCCACAGGGGCCCCCAAAAGGGCCCCACAGGGGCCCCCAAAAAGGCCCCACAGGGGCCCCCAAAAAGGCCCCACAGAGGACCCTAAAAGGGCCCCACAGGGGCCCCCTGTGCCATCTGGGGCCCCACAGGGCAATAAGATTTCTCTGAGACTTTAAATGCCAAGGAGGCCCTCAAAGGTCTTATTTTTAGGGGCCCCTAAAGGGCCCCCAAGCGTTTCCAAGGGGTCCTAGGGGGCCCCCAAGGGGCCCCTCTCAGGGGGCCCCCAAGGGCCCCGATAGGGGGCCCCCTAGAGGCCCCCAGGGGGGCCCCTGATTTAAAGGTCTTTGGGGGCCCCTAGAAACCCCTAAGAGGTCTCACAATTGTTTGGCTAGCTCGAAGAGCTGTTTAGCTTCTTTTGTTGAAGGGTAAGGCAATAGACGCGCTGGCTAGCTAGCCAGCTAGCTGCTAGCTAGCCAGCTAGCTGCTCCGCTAGCTAGCCAGCTAGCCGCCTGGCTAGCTAGCCAGCTAGCTGCTTCTCTAGCTAGCCAGCTAGCTGGCTAGCTAGCCACTAGCTGGCTAGCTAACTAGCTGGCTAGCTAGCTAGCTAGCAGCTAGCTAGCTGTCCAGCTAGCTGGCTAGCCAGCCACTAGCTGGCTAGCTAGCTAGGTGGCTAGCTAGCTAGCTAGCAGCCAGCTAGCTGTCCAGCTAGCTGGCTAGCTAGCCACTAGCTGGCTAGCTAGCTAGCTAGCTAGCTAGCTAGCTAGCTGGCTAGCTAGCTAGCTAACTAGGCGAAGTAGGTGGGCCTGCCCTTGTAGGTGTCGAGGGCGTCGAGCTGGTCGTCAGTGAAAGCCGCGCGGTGGGAAAACTCCCAACCCTCTTGGTGAGTTCTGAAGAACTCCTGCAGGCACTTCTCCACTTCCCGCTGCGCAGCCAAACCCTAAACCCTAAACCCTAAACCCTAAACCCTAAACCCTAAACCCTAAGCCCGAGGCCCTGGGAGCTAGGTCCTGGGCATTGGAACCTTGGGGTCCTCCCTCGGGTTTAAGGGGAGAGAGGCGCCTTTGTGCATGTGGTGGGTCGCAAGCTTGCATACAGCGCCAAACCCTAAACCCTAAACCCTAAACCCTAAACCCTAAACCCTAATTCAACGGCCATGTAGCAGGCCCTGAACCCTAGTCCCCAAACCCTAATACGTAAATCCTAGCCCCTCACCCGAAAGTCACTGCCCCGCTGCGAGCGCCACGCCAGCCCTTCAGCCCAGCCCCCAAACCCCAAACCCTAAACCCTAAACCCTAAACCCTAAACCCTAAACCCTCACCCGGATGTTGTCTGGCTGCGTGGAGTTCGCGTAAAGGGCGAGGGCTGTGATGGTTTCTGGCAGCCACTTGGGGACAGAATAAGGAGAAGTTGCAATGAGAGAAACCAGCCCAGCCACGCCCCCCAGGGGCCTGCACCAGCTGGGCGCGTTGCTGCTGCTGCTGCTGCTGCTGCTGCTGCTGCTGCTGCTGCTGCTTTTGCTGGGGCGGGGGCGGCGCACTGCGGGGCCCGCGAGAGACAAAAAGACTTTGGAGTAAAACCTGCGGCATCAAAAGGCAAAGGAGACGCAGCAGCAGCAGCAGCAGCAGCAGCAGCAGAGCCAGAGTAAAAGAAAGAAGCAAAAAGAAACAAAAAAAAGGAAAAAAAGAAAAGAAAAAAAAGAAAACAAAAAGAGACACAAAAAGATATAATCGCCTGCAGCCAGCAGCAGCAGGAAGCCAGCAGCCACGGGAACGAGCTAGGAGAGGCAGCAGCAGAAAAAGAGAAGCAAAATAAGGGAGGGAAAGAAGCTGCAGCAGCAGCTGCTGCTGCCGTTGCAGCTGCAGCAGCAGCAGCAGCAGCTGCTGCTGCTGCAACCCCCTCAGCTGAAGTTCCCCAAAAGGCACCCGGGAAGAGCCGCAGCAGCAGCAAAGTGAGTCATCAGCAGCAGCCGCGCAAGGACGCCGCCTCAGCAGCAGCAGCAGCAGCAGCAACAGCAGCAGCAGCAGCAGCAGCAGCAGCAGCAGCACGGACCTGCAGTCGGCGTCGGAGGCGGAGAGCAGCAAAGGAGTGAAGCAGCTTTTGCCAGCTGTACGTACACCTGCTTCGCCGTCCGCCAGGGCCTCGAGGGCCCCCCAGAGGGCCTCGCGGTAGGCCCAGTCGCCGCAGAGCAAGAAGCGGTGCTGCGTGACGTCCAGCTGCAGCAGCAGCAGCAGCAGCAGCAGCAGCAGCAGCAGCAGCAGCAGCGGCGGCGGCGGCAGGGAAGGCGGCGGCAGCGCAGGGGCACACGCAGCAGCACGCAAGCGTCAGAAGAAACGCAGGAAGAACGGCACAGCCAGCAGCTGCGGCTACATAGCTAGCAGCAGCAGCAGCAGCAGCAGCAGCAGCAGCAGCAGCAGCAGCAGCAGCAGCAACTGCAGCAGCAGGGACTGTACCTCTAGCAGCGCAGGGACGAGGGCCCTGACCTTCCACGAGGGGTGCCTCATGTAGGAGACGAGAGCTGCGACGAAGTCCCTTTGCTGCTGCAGGAGGCTCTTGCCTTGCTGCTGCTGCTGCTGCTGCTGCTGCTGCTGCTGCTGCCACAGCTGCAGCACGTCGGAGAGCAGCTGGCGCTGCTGCGTGGCGAGGCAGCAGAAGTGCGCCGCATGCACCGCGTGGCTGCTGATGTCGCAGTCGGGGTGTTTGCTGGCAGCAAGCACCAGCGCGAGCAGCACCCCCTCCTGCTGCTGCTGCTGCTGCTGCTGCTGCTGCTGCTGCTGTGGGGCCGCGAGGTGTCTGTACACCGCGAAAGAGCCGCCCCCAGCAGCGCCCAAAGAACTCAAAGTCTTCGAATCTCTTTGAGCTGCCAAAGCGGTGAGGCAGTTCAGCAGCGTCAAGGACTGACACAGAAACGGGGAGCGGCTTTTCCCCGCCTCGCGGTCTGACACGCAAACCCTAAACCCTAAACCCTAAACCCTAAACCCTAAACCCTAGGCCCTCGATGCGCGGCCACGGGCTGCTGGCTGGCGCTGGAGGGACACAGAGTCGGGGCGCCACCGATGCACCAAACGGCAGCAGGTGCACGCAGCAGCAGCAAAGGCAGCAGCAGCAGCAGCAGCAGCAGCAGCAGCAGCAAAAGAGTGCAGCAACAGGGACACACCTGCAGCAGCAGAGGACTCTCCTGCTGCTAGGGGCGCCAGCGCCGCTTTTGCCTGCTGCTGCAGGTACACCCGAAGCTGCTGCGCGTGAGCTGTGGGGTCGCAGCTGCAGCCGCAGGGGTCTGCAGCAGCAGCAGCAGCTGCTGCTGCTGCTGCTGCTGCAGCAGACTCATACCGCCCCGTGCTGAGGAGACCATCGGTCTCCTGCTGCAGCAGCTCTTCTCTGTCGCAGCCCATCACTGAAGTGACCACTAGCCTGGCCACTTCCTCTCTAACCTGCGCCCCACAGTGCATGCGCAGCTTCCAAACCCTAAACCCTAAACCCTAAACCCTAAACCCTAAACCCTAGAGCCCAGGAGCTTCGAGCTGCAGCAGCACCTGCTTGTATGGGTGGTCGAAGCAGCGCAGCACGGCCTCCTTGCCAGCTTCCAGTGTGGCAGCAGCAAAGCAGCAGCCGCAGCTGCAGCAGCAGCCCCCGTTACTGCTGCTGCAGCTGCTGCTGCTGCTGCTGCTGCTGCAGCGAGGGGCAGCAGAAAAAGTGGCGACCAGCAGCAACGCGTAGTACAGACGCAGCTGCCGCGTCAAGTCCCCAGAAGATGCTGCATCTGAATCTCCCGTGGGCACTGACTGCAGCAGCAGCACAAGCAGCAGCAGCAGCAGCAGCAATGGCAGCAGCAGCAGCAGCAGCAATGGCAGCAGCAGCGCAAGCAGCAGCGACAGCAGCAGCAGCAACTCCTCATCTGTCCTGCTCGTGTCTTCTTGCTGCATGCATGTCACTCTAATATCTTCTTTTGTATCTTTTAATCTCTTATTATCTTTATTTCTATTTATTTATTTATTTATTTATTTATTTATTTATTTATTTATTTATTTTTATTTTTATTTTTATTTTTATTTTTATTTTTCCTCACCAAAAGGGCCTCCTGCGGATTTGCTGCTTTTTGAGCATCGATGAAGAAGTTGATGAAGGGCCGCAGCCGAGCTCGCGCTGCAGCAGCAGCTGCTGCTCCCCTCAGCTGCTGCTGCTGCTGCTGCTGCTGCTGCTGCTGCTTTTGTGGCAGCAGCGGAGCAGCAGAAGGACACAGCGCAAACCTCAGGCCGTCAGCCCAGGCAGCTAAACGCTCATCATCTAGCCGGGCGAAGCTTGCCGACTGCAGCAAACCCCAAACCACAAATTAGGGTTTAGGGTTTAGGTGGGGATTATCGTCCAAGTAAGGTCTAGCTAACGCTTGAGGGTTTAGGGTTTACGTAGAGTTCACAGCCCAAGTAGATTTCAGGGTTTTGGATAGGCTTTAGGGATTAGAAGCGTTTAGGGTTTGGGTAGGGTTTAGGGTTTGGGTAGGGTTTAGGGTTTGGGTAGGGTTAAGGGTTTGGGTAGAGTTTAGGGTTTAGCCAGGATTTAGGGTTTAGGCAGGGTTTAGAGACTAGAGAGGGTTTAGGGTTTAGGGTTTAGGGTTTGGGGCATTCAAAACTTGCCATGAGGGGACACAGGATATTCCAGAGAGTCTCCCTGGCCTTCGGGTCCTCCCACTTTGCTGCTGCAGCAGGTTTCTGCTGCGGTAAAGGAAGCCCAGCAGCGTCTTGACAAACAGCAAGTTGTGCAGCGACAGCAGCCGAGAGACACGGGGGGCCCTTTGCTCGGGCCAAGTTTTATCTAGTTTGACAACAGCAGCAACAATTGGGAAGCTGCTGTCTGCTGCTGCTGCTGCTCTGCTGCTGCTGCTGCCTTCGTGGGCGCCCTGCGCCCCACGGATGCTCTCGTGGTGTATGCACACCAGCGTCGTCAGCAGCCGCCCCAAAGTGTTCGGGTCGTGCAGCCGCTGCAGCACTGCAGCACAGCAGCAGCAGCAGCAGCAGCAGCAGCAGCAGCAGCAGCAGCAGCGCAGAGCAGCAGCAGCAGCACAGAGCAGCAGCAGCAGCAGCGCACAGCAGCAGCAGAAGGCATGTCGTGGGCAAGCCCGTCGGCGCATCTACTGCTGGGCTGGTGCGCGGGCAGGCTGCGGTGTGCGTCAAGTAGGGTTTAGGGTTTAGGGTTTAGGGTTTAGGGTTTACGCTCTTGGGGCGCTGCTGCAATATTCTTTTTGAGTTGGTGCAGCAGCTGCATGAGGCCGAAGGCAGCAACGGCGTTGACCATGGGGGGCTGTTTGCTGCTGTTGGCTGCGTCCAGCAGCCACCGGCAATACAGCAGCAGCGCAGCAGCAGCAGCAGCAGCAGCAGCAGGAGTACTATACAGACACACACAGAGGGCCCCCCCCACCAGCGTAAACCGCCAATGGGGGGATAAAGTGTCTGTGGGGCCCCCGCCGCAGCGCAGCAGCAGCCGCTCCAGCGTTGGCTTCAGCAGGCCCTGACAGCAGCAGCAGCAGCAGCAGCAGCAGCAGCAGCGGAACGTGCGCGCAGGTGCCGGGCGCCCGAAGAGGCGGAAAGCAGCAGCAGCAGCACACAGCAGCAGCAGCAGCATAACAAGCGACTGCTGCTACTAGGCGTCGACCCACAGCAGCAGGCAAGCCAGCAGAAACAGCAGCAGCAGCAGCAGAAAACCCCGCAGCAGCAGCACTGCAGCAGCAACAGCACCGCAGAAACAGCAGCACCCCAGAAACAGCAGCACCGCAGAAACAGCAGCACCGCAGAAACAGCAGCACCACATCAGCAGCAGCAGCAGCAGCCCAGCAGCAGCAGCAGCAGCAGCGCAGCAGCAACAGCGCAGCAGCAGCAGCGCAGCAACAGCAGCGCAGCAGCAGCAGCAGCGCAGCAGCAGCAGCGCAGCAGCAGCAGCAGCGCAGCAGCAGCAGCACCTGGACGATGTGCTGCTGGTAGTCTTTGTGGTGGACGTCGAGGGCCTCTCTGTGGGTGAGCAGCGCGCTGGCGAAAGCAGCAAATCTTTGCTGCGGCGTCGGCTGCTGCAGCCGCAGCAGCAGAGCAGCAAGAAGACATCTGCAGCAAAAGGCCAGCAGCTGTGGGGCCCCCCACAGCCGCCGGATCATTGAGGGGGAGTTCAGCAAGTAAGCAGCGCCCGTCAGACGCGCGTGCTGCAGCGCCTCCTCGCTGCTGCTGCTGCTGCTGCTGCTGCTGCTGCTGCTGCTGCTGCTGCTCGACGGCGACAGCGGCGCCGGGAAACGCGGCGTCGCCTCCAGCGAGGACGGCAACGCGCTGCCTGCAGCAGAGGCAGCAGCAGCAGCAGCAGCAGCAGCAGCAGCAGCAGCAGCAGCAGCAGCAGCAGCAGCAGCGAGAAGCAAATGGGAATAGTGAGGATGAAAGATTAAATGAGATTCAAAAGAGAGAAAGGGGATGAAAAGACACATGCAAATGCAAATTCCAAACATAGAAACGAACGGCAGACAACTGCTGCTGCTGCTGCTGCTGCAGCTGCTGCTGCAGCCGCTGCTGTTGCGCTGCAGTGGTGTTGTGTTGTGCTGCTTCTGGTTCTGCTGCTGCTTCTTCGGGGGCGTCAACAAGTGCCGCTGCTGCTGCTTTTCCTAAGCTGCTGCTGCGGTTGCTGCAGTTGCTGCTGCTGCTGCTGCTGCTGTGGTGATTGTGTCCTTGCTGCACCTGCTGCTGCTTCTGAGGGGCTGCTGCCGCCTCCGTTGGATCCCGCTGCAGCCTGCAGCAGCAAAGAGACAACAGCAGCTTTTAACTTTTAGCCAAAATGAATAAATAAATAAAATAAAAAATAAAATAAAAAAATAAAAAAAGGAATAAAATAAAACACAAAAGAAAAAGGAGATAAAAGAAGCAGCAGCAGCTCCGCGTGCGTCTCACCTGCTGCTTGTAAGCTTCAGGCGGCAGGAGTTCCTGCAGCTTTTGCGGCTGCTTCTGCTGCTGCTGCTGCTGCTGCTGCTGCTGCTGCTGCTGCTGCGGCTGCTCCGTGCTGGCCTCCAGCATCTGCAGCGTCAGCAGCAAAATCGGGGATCGGATCCCCATGTAAACAGAAAAAGCTTCGCGTAGAATTTGCTGCGCCAGGTGGCGGGACTGAGAAGCAGCACAGCAGACACAACCCTGCTGCTGCTGCTGCTGCTGCTGCTGCTGCTGCTGCTGCTGCTGCTGCTGTGATGGGCAATTTTAAAAGCGCCAAATGAGGTAAAGAAGCAAACGAAAAAGGACCATTAAGAAAACGAGAAAAAACCATTAAGGATTAAATTAAAAGGCAATTAGGAAGACAAAAAGAGGCCATGAAAAAGACAAAAAAGACAATTAAAAAGACAAAAGGAGACAAATAAAAAGCCAATTAAGGAAACAATTAAAAGGATAATTGAAGTAATTTTAAAAAGGAAAAGAAAAAAGAAAATGAGACAAGTGAGAAGTCGAAAGGAGACAAAAAGGAGCAGCAAAAGAGCGGAAAAAGCATCAAAATGTGTCGAAAAAGTTCCAAAAAGAGTAAAAAAAGAATTTTAATAAAGCGCAAAAAGAATAAACGGAAAGCCAGTGCGAACAGCAGCAAAACGGGGAACTGCAGCAGCAAAAAATTGGAGAAAAGGGGGCGAAAAAGCTGCAAAAAGGACCTCGGCGTAGTGGTGCAGCGCGAGCTGCAGCACGAGCAGCAGCAGCTGCTGCTGCCAACCCCACACCCCCACTCGCCCGCGACGAGCAGCAACGCGGCAGCCCCACGCGCTGCAGACTCCCTGTGCCCACACGCAGCGGGGGGAGTCTTGCAGGAAGCCCGCTTCGTGCGCCCCTGCAGCAGCAGCAGCAGCAGCAGCAGCAGCAGCAGCAGCAGCAGCAGCAGCAGCGGGGGGGGGGCAGCAGCAGCAGGGGGGAGGCAGCGGCAGAAGCACACAGCACGCGAAATTTCAACGGAGGCGCTAAATCATACGCAGCAGGAGGGGATGTGGCGCTGCGGGGGAAGGCAGCCAGCAGCAGCAGCAGCAGCAGCAGCAGCAGCAGCAGCAGCAGAGGAGGTGCAGAGATAAACAGAAGCAGCCAAGTAGAAACCGAGAAGGAGAAACGGAATTAAAGGACACACGAGGAGACTGAGAGACCCAGAAGCTCGCCCCGAGATACCACAAGCACCAGCAGCAGCAGCAGCAGCAGCAGCAGCAGCAGCAGCAGCAGCAGCAGCAGCAGACCGTAGCAGGAGGAAAGGACCTCAATGCCCTCGGCCTCGAACCCGCTGCTGTGGGGCCCCCCGCCGTCTTTGCTGATTTTTCCAGCTTCGAAAATCCAGGCAGTGAAGGGCCGCAGCAGCAGCTGCCTTGCTGCTTTAAGGAAGCGCAGCTGCAGCTTGGCTTCCTCTCCCGTGTCTCCTGCTGCTGCTGCTGCTGCTGCTGCTGCTGCTGCTGCGGGGGCTGCGGCTGCTGCGATGTGCGCAGGCAGCAAAGGCCCGTCCGGCAGCGGCAGCTGCGTCTGCGCGACGAGCAGCAGCAGCGCGGCCAAGTTTTCAATGAGTGCTGCTGCTCGGAAGGGCGACACCGTGCTGCAGCTGCTGCTGCTGCTGCTGCTGCTGCTGCTGCTGCTGCTGGCGATGGGGCCTTCAGCAGCAGGCAGCTGCTCGTAAGGAGTCACAACACCCCACATTGGAATCCGCCGCGGCCTTTCATCTGGCTGCTGCGCTGCTGCTGCTTTTGCCAGCAGCCGGATAAGCTTGAGGGCCCGAGCCAGCCTCGCGCGCGTTTTGCTGCTGCTCTCCTCTGCTGCTGCTGCTGCTGCTGCTGCTGCTGCTGCTGCTGCTGCTGGCGCTGCTGCTGTGTGGGTGAGGGGGTCCTCCTGCTCGGTGAGGGGCCCCAAGAAGTCGGCGGGGAGGGCCTTGAGCTCGTCGAGGGGCCCCAGGCAGGCGGCCCAGCCTGCTGCTGCTGCTGCTGCTGCTGGTGCTGCTGCTGCTGCTGCTGCAGCAGCAGCAGCGTCCGGGTCTTTGGGGTCGGGCTGGGCGAAGGCCGTTGCTGCAGCAGCGACCTCCTCGCCGGCGATGGCTGCTGCTGCTGCTGCTTGGGCGTTAAGCGCCGCTGCTGCTGCTGCAGCGCGGTCCTGCAGCAGCGGCAGCAGCAGGAAGCGGACAGCAGCAAGGCCGTAAGCAGCAAACTGCTGCGCTGCTGCCAGCTCCTGCTGCGAAGGCACGTGCCAGGCCAGCTGCTGGGGGCCCCCCTTGACCCAAAAGGGGGCCCCCCACCGCAGCACAAACAGCTGCCGCTGCAGGGGGGCCCCCCACTCGCTGCTGCTCATGCAGCAGCAGTGAGAGAGGGCCCCCGGGTAAACTCCCACCCAAGTTTCGATGCAGCGCCGCAGCAGCTTCGCCCCCAGGCGGTAGAGCTGCTTTGTGGGGTGCTGCAGCACGGCGTGGCAGAGGGCCAGCAGCAGCTGCTGCTGCTGCAGCGCAGCAGCGCCGCAGCCCCGCATGCATGCGCTCAGCAGCCGCAGCAGCCACTCTATGCTCCGCGAAGAAGCAGCAGCTTTCAGCTGCCGCCGCGGGAACCGCACCCCGTACACGCGCACCTCCTGCTGCTGCTGCTGCTGCTGCTGCTGCTGCTGCTGCTGCTGCGGGGGCGGCAGCGGCTCGAGCAGGCGGCTCTCGACGAGCTGCAGCAGCTTGGGCAGCAGCAGCTGCGGCGCTGCAGCACCGAGAGCAGCAGCAACAACGCTGGCCAGCCGCACTGCTTCGAGATGAGTTGCTGCTGCTGCCCAAGACACAAATGTGTCTGCAAGTTTTGCTGCTGTGCTGCTGCTGACGTGGCAGAAGATGGCCTGGCTTGCTGCTCGCAGCGCCAGCGTGGTGCCCCGGTCCACGCGCCCCATCAAACCCCCGCTCTTCTCCTGCGCCGCAAACCCCAAACCCTAAACCCTAAACCCTAAACCCTAAACCCTAAACCCTAAACCCTGGGAGGCCTCCGCGGCAGCTAAAGGAGGCTGCCTTCCCGGCAGCCGCGCCGCGACGACGCGCGCCAGCGCCGCAGCAAACGCCGCAAACCCTAAACCCTCAACCCTAAACCCTAAACCCTAAACCCTAAACCCTCACGTCTGGCTTGGAGGAGACCTCCACGAGGCTCAAGATCTTTCTTAACCACTCGTGGGCCCAGTCGGGCAGCAGCGAAGAAGCTGCTGCTCGCTGCTCTATTAGCTGCCGCGCAAAAGCCACATCTGTCTTGAGTCTGCTGCCCCACGGGCGCTCAGCAGCAGCAGCAGCAGCAGCAGCAGCAGCAGCAGGCCGTGCTGCTGCTGCGGGCGCTGGAGCCTCCGACACGCACGGCACGCAGCGCCGCGGCCCGTTTGCTGCTGCTGCTGCCAGCGGCAGCACAAAGCTGCATGCATTGTCTTGGGGCTTTGCTGCTGCGTCTTCTTTGTCCAGGAAATGCGGCGGGATGGCTTCAGGGTCAGCCAGCAGCTGCAGCAGCAGCAGCAGCAGCAGCAGCAGCAGACACAGCAGCAGCGGCGCACGCAGTGGGGTGCACAAGTAGAGGCAACAGCAGGAGTGGAAACTTCCTAAGGGGTAGCAGCAGCAAAAGCAGCAGCAGCAGCTGCTGCAGCAGCAGCAGTCCTAGCCGCAGCAGCAGGAGGGCGTTTGCTGCAGGATGCAGCCCTGCCCGCAGCTGCCGCTGCTGCTGCTGCTGCTGCTGCTGCAGCCGCTGCTGCTGCTGCTCCTGCCGCTGCTACAACTGC